TAGGGAGAGAGAAAGACTAAAAAATGCACTTCAGGAAAAGAAAATTAGTATGTTTTTTTTCAGCAGATGATATTACCCTCATATGGGGATCCTAGAGGGTGTCCTATGTGGCAGAAAACACACTACACTGCCAGCCCTTAGAGAAGAAGTTGAAAATGCATGTGCAGTACTCTCAGTGACCGAGGTTACCCTATCAACAGTTCGCTGTACTAATAAATGTCTGGAAGCTAATGGCTACCCCTATGACCACCTCTTGCAATTATAGAGGCCAAAGATAACATATTAATCTCATGACATCTCCATAAGTTTAGTATTAAAATATTTATGTAAGTTTTTCTTTTCCTGAATCATCCATAAATATATATCTCCAGGGGCAATATCAAACCAAGGAGAAAGATACAACTACAGCATCTAAATAGTAATTAAAATATTTAAAGGAAAATCCCTGCTAAAAAGAAGAAAAAGTCCCAACTGCAAAATCTTGGTGAATAGCCTGTGTATTTTCCAATTTGACACTTACTGTGACATATATACATATAGCTATCCTTTGGTGAAAATAAACATTTCTTCTACTTGTCTTTTGAAAACTGCTTGGCTGAATTCTACAAATCCATCTTACCATTGCCATTAATGCATAATCTTTTCCTTATGAAGTCTAAAAGGGTTTTAACCTATAAATGTGCATATAAATGTAAGAGGCTATAATAACTCATCTCAAAACCAGCAAAAGATACAAGTGCAAAGAAGGGGAGAAAGACTAAGAAAAATGTAAGTAAACTGGTGTCTTTTAAAAAAGAGAAATTTATGTTAAGTATGCATATATACTTGAATAAAATTTAGAATAAATACTTATTCATATAGAAATTAGAATCGAGGCCATAATTTCCACCTTACTTTCTCTCTTAAACTATTTATTGTCATACAGATATTTCTAGATTGCTATTGATGAACGATAAAAATTTGAGTGTTTACTGTGTGCCAGAAATTACCTGATGTGTAGGTCATTCCCTCAAATTCAGAGCCTGGCAGAGGTTTCATAATTAAGGGATATTGTATTCCTCAGTGAATTCCACAGGATGAGCTAGAAATAGTCTGACTTAGGCTGAGTTGGTTATCTGAGAATTTCTAGAATCCTCTTTTCTTTTCTGAGACCCAGGTTGCTTATTTTCATTCTTTAACCTACAATCTGAATTTCTAGCACATAATTTCTGAACATGCAGCCTCAAAATTACCATAACTGTCTGGAGTTCAGTGACAATGTATTTCAACAAAGACATTTCCTACTTCAGCAAGAGACAGTAAGATTCTATCTAAAAATTATATATATAATAGTTATTTTTAACAGTTCTATTTGATTTTTTTAAATCCTAGCCTATGTTCTGTGATCGAAACCATCACAATCTGCTCATCTGATGAAAGCTGAAAATTAATCTGAGCAAGGAAGTTTATGTGGTTAATTCTAGGAGACAATATGACTGAGTACTTCTTCCTTTAGTTATTTTTTTTGCATTTAAACAAAAAAAAAAAACAACTTGGGCATTTTTTTTTTTTTTTTTTGGTTTAAAAAAAAAAAAAAAAACAACTTGGGCATTTTTTTTTTTAGTAATTGACCTTAGTTTTCTTTTTCTTATCCCCAAATGTCTGATCAAACTGTGGCTACACTCTGCAGTCCACTTTCAGTATACTCCTACCAGCTGCATCTAAATCAAAACAAAATCGCACATCTAGCTAAGTATTTACCGGTACCCTGGTCTGCACTCAGGATGCAAAGTTACTTTGATCATTCTGACATCAGTTGGAAATTAGAAAAGTGCTGGTTTTTTTAAAAGTGAGAAATCTGTGAAGACAAAAATATTGAGTGGACGTACTCTGGAATCCACAGTTTCCATTCTACTTAAAAATTGCAAGTAGAGGCTAAAGTATCTCTGAACGGACTCTGGTGAAAAAACAGATGTTTTTAAACTCCCCATAGATATCTGTTGGTGCTGGACAGAAATTCCGGTATAGCCAGATTCATGGCCCATCTTCAAAAGATGCTTCCATGCTTATTTGGAGCATATGGGTTAAGCTATGGGTTTAACCTACATGTTATACTGAAAACATAGTATTTAATTGAAATTAGGAGGGTTTTTTTTTTAAAGAAACAAATACACAGAAAGCAATGTGTACCAATATTGCCCAAGTTACTTTTTCAACAAAAGTTATC